CATTAAAATCGACTATTAGGATGGAAAACTCTGTAGTCGGCACCTCTCGTAGAGCATACTCTACTTCTTCAAGAAGTAGACTCATATTCTGACTCTAAATTGGACGCATAGACATGAAACAAGGTCAACGTTTTAACCTGTTGTAGTTTCAGTCGTAGGATTGTCAGTCTTCCGCTGAGAGACTTCCATTCAATGCGTTTAGCAGCTAGGTTGGATTTTGTCAGAACACCAGCAGCGGTCTGAGCTCGCGTAGTGATGTCAACACCTGGGTAGAACAGTTTCCACCTGCAGAAGTTTAAAATTCCAGAATCCCGGCATTTCGACGAAAAGAGTTAAACTGTGTCCAGTCAGCTGTTGCAGCCTCACTAACAAACTCCTGCTCTGTCTCTCTGAGTGAGAATATAATCCAATTTATGTGTAAGCTCTCACTGGCGGTGTCGTTCTTGTGGAGACTTTTCTGACCTGCGATAATGGCATTGCGCTTTCTGCCTCTTCCGTTCAGAACGGGTTGCGGATCCTTTGCTGATAGTTATTTTCGTCGTCATTTCGTCGATCTTCAATAACTGTTGTCATGCTGCTAACCCTTCAGCTGCCAAAGGGCGATGAGCAGGTTCTGATCGCCTGACTTCACTTTTTGCAGCCTGGCTCAGTCCTCGGATAGCCTGCGCAAACCTTGGTAACCCGAGCGACAATCGAGCCCGTATAAGGTTTGATGACAATATCGTGAAAGACAGGTGGCTAAATTTTACCGAGACTTTGCCAGTCTCAAACACTCGTCTTTTTTCACCCGAGCTTGAGAACGGCAACGTTGGAATTGGTAGTATTTCTAAATAATCAACCTTAATATGCATGCATCAGAGATATAGGTTGCATCCCTCAGTATGCCAATTAGTGCGTCACTGTTACAAGAGCAGACTTTACGACATCAAACAGTCTTGCCCGCAGTTAGTTAAGACCGCAACTAGCACCGCCTGCAATCTAATACGATACAGATGTGGTCTGTTTGAATTGCCCCTGACGCAACTAGGAGCAATGGACGATATAACAGGCCATCAAATTTAGCTTTGTAGAAGTTGTGCCAGTTAATGTGCCCTGGCATGAAAACATATTCCTGATGCATCCATATTAAGATCAGAAAAGCTATTTAGAAGCACTAGCAGTTACGACTTATGTTCAACTTGGACAAAACTTTGGTAAACCAGTTTCATATCCATGCAAGTGAAAATCGGAAATGACTAATACCAACTCGCCGCCAAATCAAAATACTTCACCGAATTTAAAAAAGTTTCCAACAGTGTAACAGAAGCTTAGATCGTAAAAACGACTGACAACAAGAGAATTCACTGACCAGGTTTAATAAATGTTGTTATTAAACTTGAAAATTGAATGCTGCCTTTTTGCGCTTTAAATTAATTCGTAATTTTCGTATTTCCTAAGGACTGACTTTGCGCATAACAACAATATTTATAATATAACCAGCATTTAAAGTATATTCTATTTTGTTGGCTATCTGTCAAGGTAAACAGGCTATACCTTGAAAACGAGCTAAAAGTAACTCAAAACGTTGGTACCACGCTAAATAAGATGTATATGCGTAAAAATCCGGTAAGAAAAATGATGACCATAGTTTGAACGCGTTTTAAGGTACGTATGTCATAACGTCTAAATCAGCTAACCGTCAATTGACTTTCTAATGCCAGAATAAAGGGTTAATCATCGAAATATTACAATAACGGTAAACATTCAAGCGTCATAACATCTATTTTCAGCGCTGGGCAGGTCAACTAAAAACGAATTCGCTGTTTCTCAGAGGCCATACCAACGAGAGCTGGAAGCTATTTCTTAGGTGCACTCAGCTAAGCCATCTGGAAGGGATGGTGAGCCAATAAACCAACTGTGATCCGTTGCTCAGCAGTTCTTTCAAAAAACTAGAAATGTCTTACTATTTTCACCGTTGACCTAAGACTGATTGAACTATTAGTATCCATTATCATCAGAGAAGGATCGTACCTTCTACACTCTTAAGAAAAGTTGATATTCCCACTAGACGACACATGAAAGTCTTTACGACGAGCAAGCCCATTCAACTGCACCTGCTACGTCTTGTTCCAACATACGTTCGGTGTACCGCTGCCAATCATATATATCCCGTATAAAGCCAAAGACGATGATATATAATACGCATGCGAATTAACTGAATAATAAATAGCTAACATAGGAGATGTTCGATATAAAATGCTATGTGAATTTTTTAAAAGCATCACCACCAATATGCACTGTATACCTGCAATTTCACATGAGCAAGATTAAAAACTTTAATCGATAAAACTGCAAAACAAAAAATATTTAATTCGAGACCAGGTAAGACTGTTCGTTTACAGGCTGTTCGATCAGGTAGCTGGCAACGTATTCAACTTTAAAACATTTAACTCCAGCTTTTAGTAGAGTTTCATATTCTTCCTAAAATTATGAAAACTATTATAAATTTAGTGAGATCAGAAAGTCAGTTTAAACAGCAAAATAATCTTACATCTCTTGAAGGAATCTGCTGTAATGGGACGTTTTGGTACAGGTCACTGGTTGTTGTTGATAATGTTCAGTACAACGGTAGTCACCTTTAATCTACATAACTTGACAGTGCCTATCTGCAGAAAATATTTCATTTAACCTACAAGTTATACCTCAGTGGGAAACTCTCTGCAGCGCAGTAAGATGCCTCTGTCAGACTTATCAATCAGTGATAAGGATTCCGATGCAGAGATTGTTGGTGCATAATCCTGCTATCGCGAATTCGAACCTACATCATTGTGGGTTAAGCTTCATATGATTCACGGATTATGCTAAAAAGGGAACTTTCGACTGATATGATCAGATAGGTAGCAAAAGGGTAGAAATAGGTTTTGGGAAAAATCCAGTAATTTCGAACTTTAGACAACGTGAAGAAGTCGCAAAATTGTCGAACAAAAGTGAAAACAACGACAGGTTTCACGTTGTGCGCGCTGAAAGATTTCGAACGATGTATCACACAAGGGATCAAATAAAATAATTAACAGAGATGACTAGTTGCTAATTACATAACTCAAACTCCAGACTAATTGACTTCGCACTGAATTAATGACAGCGCGCTGACTTAGCCACTCGCATAGCCGTTACGATGAAATCATGAAATAAAAGAGAAAGCTTCCAAACAGTGCACTGCATTGTATTCACAGAGAACCACGCATGCTCCTTCTTCTTGCATACGGCAAGAACGTACAGAGAGCATGAGGAGAATCAGGTAACTGGTACAGATGATAGTTTGCCAATGAATACGAAATCGAAATCGCGACTTAGACTACATGCTGACTTAGTGACATCGAGCAGTCACCGCCACCACCATAGCCACGTAATCAGAAATTCACAAGATTAACAATCAGATCCTACTTCGTTCACAGATAGTGCTCCATTGATATATAATGAGGCTAAATCAAATATATGACGCAAATGACCAACGTCCAGTTATACAGATTAAAAATGGTGACCACAGCACGACGCGTTATCAGCAACCACTGGTCTGCACCAAAACGCTATGGACCGAGCATCTGCTATTGATCTGCAGATCACTCAAAAGCGAGGCAATCAGAAACTATATCAGATGTTTTACACGCTTCATATCCATTTTCCAGTTGAGTTTCTAACATCTCCGTATGCAGTTTGCGTTGAGTACTGTACTGCGGCCTGACTTCATGGTATTACCAAAGAAAGAATTACTTTCCACAGGTTTGATGGATGATAAGTAATGGACAGTGCAAAATCTAATCCAAATGAGAGTAATGATGTCTTTCACCCAATGCCGCCTATTGTGTAGAATTTTTTTGCGCCCATCTAAAAATTGTTAACCTAATATCAAGGAAATAGAAAGCATTTAGAAAAAATATCATTCTGCTTTCCTCAGAATTATTAAGGATGCGGCCAAGTCGGTTTCCTTGCGTCTGGGATTATCGTCACAGCTTCCATCTCAAATGGGTCTACCTTCCCGTTATAAAAAAGCCAGCAGTCACAGCCTTTTGACTATAGCCTAGCCTAAACTATTACTCATTGCTGAACAGAAAATTTAGTTTTTTCTTCATACAAAATGTCTGAATCGAGTCTGATTCAGATGCGAGCGAACTGACTTGTGTAATGCACGCAGACTTCGTACGCTTTGACAAAAATCAAGAATTCGCTATCCTAGTTGCGAATGCAATTGAGAAAGTATCAGAAGTCGAAAAATTTAATTTCCTCTCAAAGAGAAGCAATAACTGTTGCAAATGACGCTCTTTTAACACCTTAAAGGTCCGCGAGATAAAAATCAGAAATCTATCAGCGATATATGAAATGACAAACCTGTCACGTGATAATTAATCAGCTGGATGCTGCAAAAGTTTCATTAGTGCCAGCTCATATGAACATTAGTATAAGAAACTATTCATAAAGCACCTGAAAGATGAAAACCACCACATATGAAACTGAACGGGAAAAAACGTTCATAACAGTTCGAAAGTCGTCCTTCTTTGTGCTTATATGATTGAGGCATTTCTATGACCTCTTTTTCCATTAATTTTCCATTCAGTTAATGGTGAGGTCTTGATATTCATTTCATGTCACCAGTCAGGAGTGCACTGTTTCCAAAGGCAGAGTCAAGAACAGCTATATCGGAAACTTAGTGTGTAGTTTCCCAATTTTTGTCCACACTGCTCAACAGAAATCAACTTCAAAAGGAAAAAAAACGAGTAACCCAATCGGGGCTCGAACCTGGGACTTCCCGGTCCTGAGTCTGGCACTCTACCAATTAAACATCCTACCTCTTATGATCATACAAAAGTGAGCCACTTTATAGTCAGCAAATAAAAAAAATTAGCCCAAAAATAAGGAGTAAATGGAGTAAAACAAGGCGCCCTTTCGCTCCTTAAAAACTTCTATGAGAAGAAGAAACGAAACAACAACATAGCAGAAACCCAAAACTAAATTATCGCTACTGATTACGAAACGTATACCCTAGCGTCTGGACGCTTTTGAATATCGATCAGGACATGTGTCAAGGAGCCAGCATTGGTTCGCCTGAAAAACACAGCTGATGTTCATAAAGCAAATCAACATGTACGTACTGCAAAGAAACTTCAGCTCCACCGACTTCTAGAAGCCGCTTTAAACTGTTCTCTCGTGTTCTGTCGGCAAGAAGAAGTACCTTCCAGCCATCGTACGCTTTCTTGCCCGTCTACAATAAAAAATTATAAACATGCAAAATAGAAACAGTCAAAATATTTAATGGACAATACCTCGAACACTCGTCTTCGCCATCGGCCAGAAGCCTTCGCTAATTCCAATGCAAGACGTTTCTGCACTAACGTCGAATCAGAAAGAATGGAAGGCGCTGACCATTCGTAAGATTCCTCCTGGAAATAACAGCACCGGCCTGAATAACATTACTGTGGCAACAGCTTGAATTCCAGCAGTTCTGATTACTGGTAACAGTGGTACACCTCAATAACCGTACGTTAGAAGCAACAACAGAAACACCCACGTAATCGACACTGTTTCAGCCTACTGCCTTTACAGGGAGCGGCGCAGTAAAACTACTCGTGTGAATATTCAAAATACCCTCAGCAAACACTAAACAGTGTAGTCGCTGATCGTTGATTAGCAATCCTACGTGCTCACAGTCCATGTTTTCACTAATGCTCATGTTTCACGGTGAATAATGATCACAATAAGAGTAATTCAGTTCTAATTAACAGCTCTGGAAAGGTAGTACGCCTGAAACTTTTTTAAAAGGTGTCAGAGCAGACTGCTGTTACAACATTTAAATTCCAGAACATGACAGCTGAGAGAAACGGCGAAGAAACCTGACGGAGTGAAATCTGTGTCTCGGTTACAGCTTAGTTAACGCATGAGCCGTATTTTCATACTGTACTTGTATGTCTACGATATGATACACTAAAAACAAATGTTACCGGTAAGAAATGGCCTGATTTCGAACATGCGTCCACATAAGTTGAGTGCAAGACATACTTTCCAGAGGCGATGCAACTAAGAAATTTTTCGTTTCTCGTAAGACTACCTGAAACCCAAACGGTTCAAAATTTGTCGCTGCCAGGTAAACCTGGTACCTGCAATGAGATGCGTGCAACGGGGATCGAAGACGTTCGACTGGAGCACTTTGGCGCCTAAAGCTCTAAGCATTTCCGAGCATTTTATCTTTTTCTGCAAAACAAACACAGATCATTGTCCAAAACACCAAAACCAAATCACAGCGGTCATTGAATACATGCCTGTTGGCTCAGTGTTGTCAACTGGAACACAGGAGTTACCGAAGAAATGATGGTGCTAGTCTGAAAGATTGTCTGTCAGAAGCTTACGAAAGATTCGTACGTTCATACGCTACCTGTGGTAGTGACTCAGGCTTTGCTTGCGATAACTCGTCTACAGGCTCCAGCAGACCACCGATGTTCGCCCTAGCCACTCTAGTTAAATTAAATGGTTAACTAGGACAACGCAAAAAGTAAACTAAGCTCAGCAAACCAAGACGGCAACAAAGGACAAACTGAGAAACAGTGAACATAATAAATTAAAACCTCAAATTAGTTCAACTCCAACAAGTGCAACGTTACAATGGAATAAATTTAACATAACTAATTTCATTGCCGTATTTACTCGGCATAAGCGCAACCCCCTGGTTTCAAGAAAACTCTACGGTAATTTATGCATACCAAAGGTCCACACTGAATTCGCGTACTACCCTGTTCAGCACCTACAGGATATCGAATGCAAGTTCGCGTCGTTGAGTTCGCCTGAAAAAGGGTCCATTCGAACGCCAACGAAATTTGTTGCCCTTCTATGGCAAATATATAGGCAAAACATAACCTCAATATTCCTCCGGAGTTATTATAAATGACAGCTTTCAAATATCACCGATAATCACAGATGCGGTTTTTGCATCTGATGCCTGGAAAGAACTCAAATACCATGGAGCCACAGTCTACTTAAATAGTTAGTCACTTAGCCATCTAGAAACAAACGGACGGGCAGCGTTTAAGTCCAGTAAATCCAGTATTGGCAACTGAAACACTACCGGCGGAAATGGTCAACTACTGTTTACGGTAGCTACCGCAGACCATTGGTCTTTTTCCAAAAAAAATTTACTGCCAGTAATTAATACGACACCTTCCCAGTTGTTACGTACGACCACACAGATTTAAAGTAAATGCAATCTGCTCACTACCAATGATGTGCCAAATTTTGTAATGCTATATGATACACGAATACATCGTTTCCATTTTTGAAGAAATGTATCAATCAAGGAACTGCGTTTGCTACAAAAGTCGAAAGATTTACCTGAGCGGTTCCATACTGTGAGATTTGGCAGGGGAATGTACCTTCGCTTTTATACGTTGTTTCTGACTTTCTTCTTTGAAACACCTCTTAACGTGACACAAATGAGGGTCTCATTCTGGAGGGAAAGCACAGTTAAAGATATCCAGGTGGTTACCTTACTGACTTGAAGTATGCAGATGAGATTCACCTGATAAGAGGACTCTATCACTTTCCCGCTTCCGTATACAACGCAGTTGTGAAATCCAGCCCCTTTCCCGGAATTCAAAAGTTATTCGGAGACCCATCCATATACAAATGGAACAGGGAATTGAGCTGCTTCAGGAAGTTGATCAATTTAACTGCCGGCTTCATCATCCGCAACGACGGCAAAATTCGGCCGCAATTAAATGAGCACCGTCCAGGTCTCATCTCAAGTACTTTTTGTAACCTGTTCAATGCTTTGACTGAAAAAGTAATAAAACTTTAGCATGATCCCTGTCAAAGCCGAATACTGAACTGTCGCTCTTGAGTCATATCATCTAAGGATACTAGAGTATCTTGAACAACAGGGTAACATAGACTAATGGCGTCCAAACTGGTGTTGCAGAATAATATTATATTACATTCGGCGGTGTGACGCCACAGTGTCTAAGAGGTGAGCTTTTAACTTAAAACGCACCAGACTGGAACTTGATGATGGGCTGACCATCGTCTCAACAACGATTTCTTTTGAGCAGCGAATTACTTCCACGTTGTTTCTCTGCAACCAGCTGAGAAACGGGGGTAAGTCGACGAGTTGTGAATGATATTTTGGTCTGGTCACGTCAGAATCCACGAAGTGTACTGCCATGCAGTCCTATGCGAGCGCCCTTTGTGGCCGCACTACGCCTTGAT